AAACAAACAAACAAACAAAAAGGTACAAGGGGAAACCCCATGTTAAGATGAGATGTTTAATTTTAATTGGGCATGTTAATTAGGTGAGCCAAAGGAGGAATCTGATTGCTGGACTTCAATACTTTGATAGCTGGACTTTGGTAGTCAGCCTCAGGAGGAGGAAGTGGCCAAATAAGGGACTAGACCTTGGGGGCTAGCTTTAGGAGTGTAACTAATGGTTTTAGCAAGGCAGAGGGAATGGGGGAGAAGGGCAAGGCCTGCCAGAGCCACGTGCTTGAGTGGGCTAGTGTCCCTTCAGACATCTTTTTCCCTTCTTCTTCTTCTTTCTTCTTGTTCTTGTTCTTCTTGTTCTTCTTCTTGTTCTTCTTGTTGTTCTTCTTGTTCTTGTTCTTCTTCTTGTTCTTGTTCTTCTTCTTGTTCTTGTTCTTCTTCTTGTTCTTGTTCTTCTTCTTCTTCTTCTTCTTCTTCTTCTTCTTCTTCTTCTTCTTCTTCTTCTTCTTCTTCGTCCTCCTCCTCCTCCTCCTTTTTTGTTCTCTTTTGTTGTGAGGGGCTCTCTCTGGGTACTCCTGGCTATCTGGAACTCACTATGTAGTTCAGGCTAGCCTGGAACTTCACAAAGATCCACCTGCTTCTACCTCCCAAGTGCTAGGATGAAAGACGTGTGCCACCATGGCCCCGCCACATTTCTCCTCCTAATTATGCTGGTTTTACATCTCCCCTCTGCAGTCAGCCCCACTGCTTAGTCCTCAGATATCAAAGAACAGCCAGGAGGTGACCCTCGGCCACAGGGCTGAGTTTATTTTCATTCTTTCTGTCTTAAGCCATTACGTTGAAAATAAGATCCAGAACTTGAGTGAACACTTGCCAACTCCAGAGATGAGAGGAAGTTTGACTTTGGGTTCAGAGCTGCCCCAGGCCGTGGCCACCCCCATCTCCAAACCTGAACTGAGCTATCCAGAGGCTGTTTAACATCCATGGCTCGAGTCTGTCTGAGAAGTGTGTGGCATCAGCGGAACTTGGTATTCACAGAAGGTTTGGTACTGGCACACACAGGGACCTGAGGGTATGACATCTGTGCCCTGGGCCAGTCAACTCTTATCATGTCCCTGTTTTCCAGGTGAGCAAACAGAGGTCGGGATAGAGAGAGCATCAGTAAGAATTGTAAGAACCCCATTGGTATTGCCGCAGCCAGCCCTGTGTCCGTCCTGCTAGGCTTAAAGGTGGCTCCCTACTTGCCTGATTAGCAGGATCTGCTATGTGAATGTTAAAAGGCCTTTTAATAAAAAAAAAAAAAAAATCCAGTACCAGATACTGGGGTAAATGCTGAAAAGATCAGAGAGACAAAGGAACAAGCCATTGCCACGTCTTTCCTCTAGGACTCCTCAGCCTGGAAAAGCTCTAGCTGAAAAGGCTTCCTCAGCTGAAAAGCTCTAGGTCCTGTCTCTTCACACCTTTTGTACCGTTCTCCACTCAGTCATATTACTTCCTTCCTAGTGCTGGGATTAAAGGCGTGTGACTCCCAAGTACTGGGGTTAAAGGTGTGTGCCATCACTGCCTGGCTCTGTTTCTCTCCTAGACTGAGTCAATCTCATGCAGTCCAGGGTAGCATTGAACTCACAGAGATCCAGACAGATCTCTGCCTCTCGAGTGCTAGGATTAAAGGTGTGTGCCACCAGGTTTAATCTAGTGGCTTGTTCTGTTCTCTGATCTTCAGGCAAATTTTATTAGGTTACATAATATATCACCACAAGGATCTTCACCTTGAGTAGGGGGAAACAGAGAAGGCTGAAGTGGGGAGGGCCCCAGCACCCTGAACTCCTGCAGCCACAGACTGTGCTGTTCTGCACCTCCTCCATGCCACAGCAGAGCACGAAGACGGGGAGGGACTGCGGGCCGAGGCTGGAGCTGCTCCGCTCACGGGGGATAATATACGGAGCCTATGAACCCCTGTGCCACCAGTTCTACAGGGCTGATTGTCAGAACACGGTGACCATGGGGATTTGGACTCCTGTACATCTAGAGCCAAGACTACCCCGGGCTGTCTTGAGTTCCTTTACTAGCCTTTCATTGCTTATCTCTGTACCTGGCCTAGCATGCTCTTGAATCAGGTAAACCCTTTAGGATGATTTTTTATCAAACTGCTAACTTTCGCAGACCCAAAAGCTAAGACTGACACCAGGCAGCATCTAAAACCTGTAACTGTGACTTCCTGATACCCCACTCACATTGCATGAACCTTTCCAGGGAGGTGTGGACAAATGTCTATTCCTCCCAGATAGGTGACAATGGCGGACCCTAATAAGAGCCTACCAGAGTCCCATTTGGGCAAACCAACGAGTTCATTTGACTTACAGAGCATGGAGGAGGGGCTGCTTACTGGCATATGTTGACCCCAGAGCAGCCAGACCACTGGAAAGTGTCACTTCAGTGTGAAGGACAACTTCTCCACAGCTGCAGAGACAGTCCCCTTCAGTTAACCTTCCATGTTCTCTGTGTGATATCACCTCCCAAGACCACACGCAGCTGGGCAAAATGACATACAACATACAGCTGGGATGAGAGGCAGGGGATGAAGGGGTTGGAATCTCAGCGAGGGTCTTAGGACCCTCCCCATTTTCTCCTGTGATGGAATGTTCACAGCCTCAGTCTTGAGAGTCTCTGGCAAGTAATCTGGCTGCTCTGATGGTAATGGTTATGCTTGGAAGATGGCGTTAGAGATGCCTGCCTACCTGCCTCCCCCAGAAAATGCATTTAATGACTGTCTTGACTTCGCGTTCTGCCATTAAAACGTTCATGAGACAGCTGTTCCTTCTCCTCCTTCTCTTCCTCCTCTTCCTTCTTTTTTTGTTTGTTTGTTTAGTTGGTTGGTTGGTTGGTTTGGTTTTTGTTTTTTCAAGACAGGGTTTCTCTATGTAGCCCTGGCTGCTCTGGAACTTACTCTGTAGACCAGGCTGTCCTCGAACCCAGAGATCCACCTGCCTCTGCCTCCCACTGCTGGGATTAAAGGCATGTGCCACCACCTCCTGGCACATATGGAACAGCTTCTTGTTAGAACATATTCAGTGAAAGCTGGATCTACATTCCCAAAACATGGTCATTTATAGTTGATTTAGAATAATCTCTTACTCCCTTTGGGATGAGAGCTATGCTGTGACGGCTTTGGCACTCAGTGTGGGACCCCAAGAACATTCATTTTCATTAGAGGAGTCACCAAGATTAGTGCCATGTACCAGTACAGGCCTTGGTGCCCAAATGACCATTTTGCTTCCTCAAGCAGGTAAACTTTCTGGAGCCTGGACCTCTGCGTTGGTCTGTGTGGTGTTGGTTGTTAGCTATTCCGACTCACTAAGGACGATAGTTTGTGAAGAGTTTCAGAGTGTTCCTGTCAGAGAAGTAGAATCAGAACATTTGTTGGCATTCAAAGGTTTTCATCCACTGCTCACCCAACATCTAACTCCTCTCTCCTGCTCACCGCCACCTTGCCTCTTTTAGTTTAGAAATGTTATGACACACTAAACAGAGTTCTGTGCCATAGAACTAAAGATGAGATGTGGGCAGCCTACTTTGACTGAAACTTAGAAGTACCTAAGAAGCCAGGCCTGGTAGTTCACGTCTGGAATCCCAGCACATGCACATAGCAAAATGCATGTGCCGTGGTGCACATGTAAGAAGATAACTTTCTGGAATCACTTGTGTCCTTCCATTAGCAGTTCTGGGGCTTGAACCCAGGTCATTAGGCTTGCACGGCAACCCACTGAGCAATCTTGGCAGCCTTGTTAATCAGTTCATTTTTATTATTGATGGGCGTTGTGTTGTGTGTTTGTGTACGTATGTGTGGATACACATGCTATGGCTCATTGGTTGAGGTCCAAGGACAACTTGGTGGAATTGGTTCTTTCCTTCCACCTTTGCATGGGATCCGGGACTTAAATTTGGGTGGCTGTCAGGCTTGTCAGCAAGTGTCTTTACCCATTCCCACTTTTGAAACAGGGTCTCACGATGTAGCCCTGTCTGTAACTCACTATGTAGATCAGGCCATCCTTGAACTGACGACAGTTTCCTTGCCTCTGCCTTCCAGGTGCTGGGATTGCAGACATGTGCCACCATGCTCAGCTTAGAGAATTTCTGTTTTAGATTCAAACTCCTGGGGTGGAGAGCAACAGAACTTCTTCCTACAAGGGAAGAATTAATGAGGTCCAACTAACTATATGATTATGTAATACTAGCAATGTTAAATATAGCAAATTTATAGACATAATAGCCAATTTATTTTAACAGCATGTATTTTCTGTCACAGCATGGTTTATTTTAATGACCATCTACACTTATAAATGTGGCTGAATCCCTCACAATATAGGACCTAACCACAGCAATCAATCACATAAACTCTAATTTATAGGAGTAACTTGATGGACTGAAATTCCAAATGGTGTACATGCTAGGATCAGGTTTGGAAGACTCTGAGAAGTCCTGTGGAAAACTCAGACTTGGGCCTGCCTTGAAATAACTTCGCCATCAATTCCTGTTAGGCATCCCAAACAGTTTGGGCTGACTCCTCCTCCTCCTCCTCCTCCTCCTCCTCCTCCTCCTTCTTCTAAGATTTATTTATTTACTATGTATGTATACAGCATGTATGACTGCAGGCCAGAAGAGGGCACCAGATCTCATTACAGATGGTTGTGAGCCACCATGTGGTTGCTGGGAATTGAACTCAGGATCTCTGGAAGAGCAGTCAGTGCTCTTAACCTCTGAGCCATCTCTCCAGCCCGGGCTGACTCTTCTTATCCAAATTGTACAAAACAAGTCAGTTTCCAACAACTATGGCATTGGTGGTTATTATTTTTTATTTATTTATTTAGTGTGTGTGTGTGTGTGTAATATACAAGGTTAGTTTTTTTTTTTTTTTTTTTTTTTTTGTCTCCAGACCGAGTTTCTCTGTGTACTGAAACTGTCCTGGAACTCACTCTGTAAACCAGAGGCCAGAGTACCTCTGCCTCCCTGAGTGCTGGGATTAAAGACATGCACCACCACCACCACCACCACCACCACCTAGCTGTTTGTTTGTTTGTTTGTTTGTTTGTTTTTTAACTGACCAAATTCCAGAGCCCAAAGAGGCCTCATTGGAATTTTAAGTACTGGACTAGGATTTTTTTTTTTTTCAAGAATCTTATCATTTATAGTGAGCAAGAAAAGTTACTTTACAGATTAAGTTTTCAAATGTTTCTAAATGGCTAGAGAGATGGTTCAGTGACTAAGACCACTTGCTGTTCTCCCGGAGGACACAGGGCCCCTGATTCCAGTACTCACATAGGCGTTCACAACCATCTGTAACTCCAGTCCAGGAGATCCTCTGCCCTCTTCTTGACTCTGAAGGCATGCATGTGGTGCACATCGACACAGGCAAAACACTATGTGCATGGAATAAAAATAAACTTTAAATTTTTTTTTCTGAACCTGCACTAGGAAATTTCAGACAAGATAAATTTACTTAAAAAAAAAAAAAAAAAAGACATACCCTTTAAAAAATTAATGTGGGCACTCGAGGTCACTCAGCAGTTAAAGGTGCTTGCTGCCAAGCCTGATGACCTGAGTTTGATCCCTATAACCCACCTGCTGGATGGGGAAAACAGACTCCCAGAAGTTGGCCTATGACTTCCACATATGCACACACACAAATAAAATTAAGTCTGGCTTCTTCAGAGTATGTAGTGTGTCGCCCCCTGGTGACAAGAGTGTCTGCGCCCCGTGGGAAATGCCCAGAATTAAGGCAGGACGGGGTGGAGCCGGGGCAGGGCAGAGCAGGCGAGAGGCGGCTCCCGGCTGAATCTGTGACCAATCCTGGCGAAGTTTCTGCCGCCGGGCGGGGTGGGTTCCCAGTCTAGGACACCGGGAGGAGGCGCAGAAGAGCAGGTGGCCTCCAAGAGGCACCCGGGAGAGGCAGGATGCCCTCTACTGTTCCTGCTCTGTGCCCTCTCCGGGCCTCAGGTCTGCTTGATTTAGGAGCGCAGAATAAAGGAGCAAAAGGCAAGAAAGAGACCAAAAATCTGACCTCAACAGCCTGCGTTTGTTAGCACGGCATCGAGGGGCAGCAACTTTCCCCACGAGAATGGAAGATGTGCACAGGGAGAGAACTGGTCAGGGCTCCTATAGGAGTGGGCCCTGGGCTTCGGCATCGTGAGGTCGATGCAGCTGTAGAGTTTACGTGCAGGGCAAGACAGGCTTGAAAATTTGGTGACCTCTCGTTAACTATTTTTTTTTTTAATTGCTCGCTCAGGCAGAGCAGGCTATCTTGAGAACTGTCCATCTCAA